ATTTGATAAACACTGCGCAAAAAAGTAAATAAATGAAAGCAACTGAAAAGATCCTGATAAGAAATAGACTTTTATACATGGTAATTAAATATCAATCAAAATGTGGAAAAATATCAGTGAGACCAGCAAGACGTCACAAAGGTTGCAGGGAGAGACAAAGATGAACAAATGCAGGACACCAAGCGTGATGATTTTAAAGCCCCGAAGCACAAGAGTGCAAAGCTAGCTGTAGATACAAACACAAACTGATATACACCAACAGGCAGTTCTGACACCAGCAGTGTGTGTACACTCTGACAGGCGGGGCTCTGGGGCCCTGCTGTTGGCTGTCTGGTTCCATGCCTGCTCTACCTGTGTTTAAAAGGGGGCGGCCCCCATGAAGCTCAGACCCCAGAGTGTAGGCTGTGCTAGGCCCCCAGGGCTTTCAGGGTGTGGGTGCCGCACAGTGTACGCCTTTTGTTACAGGCTGGGTGGCAAGAGGAGGAGGAACTAATGTGTGTTGGGGGGGCAGGAAAAAAATGAGTAATGCTATGAGTCATTCTGCATTAGCAGCAGGGAGAGGGAGATGGGGAGGGGGAGTAGATGAGAGGGGGTGAAGAGAGAGAATACTTTTGCATGTTGTATGAAGCTAGACGCCATATGCCATCCGAGCTGGGCTGCCTCCTGAGTCAGGGCTCTCTGTTTGACAGGCCTGTGCTTGCCCCCTCCAAACCCCCAAAGCTACACCCCTTCTTCCCCAACCAACACCCTCCTCCTTCTCTAGGCCTTCTCGGCTCCAGCAATGGGCTTGGCAATTGCTTTGGTCGTGCATGGACTGCGCTCTGTTCATGTGTGTGTGTTTATTAGGAGGGGGGTACTCAGTGATCTGAACACATCGGACATTGTCGTGAGTCCCGGCAGGAACAGCTGGTCAGCTGGAGAGAGGAGTGGGAGGGAGCAGGGATAAGAAGGGGGAAGAGATGGGAGGCAGTGCGCTACACTGATAATGGGATTAGGTTAAAACATTCAGTTGGGGAGAGCCCCCTCCTCTCTTTGCAGCCCCCTGAAATAATGTGTAAACTCTCAACCACCCTATCAAAGCCAATGCCAGCCTCCGCCCAAACTTAGCCCTGCCAACTCCAAGCAGGGACACTTTAAGTCCAAACTAGCCCCTCACCCAACTCCAGCTACCTACTCATCCAACAGCAGCCAACCGCCTCCGACTAAACGGTTCGCATCCAGTAATAACAATATGCTGACAATCACTTGTCATAAATCATGCAACAAGTCAAGCTGTCCAACTCCCGCTGCAAAAGTTACTGCAGATTACAAATTACTTTTAGTTGGTCAGCCCCGCTTCCAGTGAACAGGAAGTTGGCTATACTCACATCAGCTCAGACCATTACATGAATCCAGCTTATAATGACTAGCTTGGCGTCTCACTGTGCCCAGTCAAGCACTGTGCTCCATAGTGATATAGACTGCTGAGTATTATCCATGAGTCTGCCAACAGTTATGGCACAACAGCTGGCAAATTAGACCTATCAACGATGCTAAATAATTCATGGGAGACAACACTAACATGGCAGATCCTATTCATGACACCCTATCATGCATACAGGCGCACTTTCATCTCCGCTAGGTGAAGAATCTTACAGTATACAAAAGAACATGCTGTCGTGAGACAAAGACGCGATGAGACCGGGACAATAACTTGCTCAGAAGGGGTGTGAGAATGTGTCACGGTCAATGCGGCGACTGTACTAATTATGACGGCGTGTGGGGATGCAGAAACGGCACACAAAAGCAGTGCATGCAGAATATCATATCCATTGTGTTTTCAGCATACAGCCGTTGCAAAGATGTACATCTTGTTTCCAGCAGTGGAGCTGGGGGACTGCAGATATGCTCACATGAGCCTGTGAGGGAACATGACAGAGTTAAGCAGCTTTTTGGGTTCCACTGAAAGGATCAAGCCTTCCTCTCCTCTTCCTGCTGCTGCACACACACACATGCACACACACGCTACCTAAAAGCCTGGCTCGCATGACTGGCGATGGGCAGAAACAGATTATGGTTATTGATCGCTGCCTGGAGATGGATCTGTGTGTGTGTTTACTTGTGTGTCAGAGCAAAGGATGGGGACTAAGGGCAGTGTGCAAAAGCTATTGATTCTGTCCAATAGGAAGGCTATGCCTCTGAATCAAGGTCAGTTTTGCATTGTCTCACCTATTAGTAACTTGCCATCACCCCACACACAGACACACACACACTTCACCTTTAACAATACCCCATCACAAAGAGTGATGGACGGCACATCAAACTCAAGTGCTTGTTGAAGAGTGAAATGAATCCCACCTTCTGGATGACGACATTATTCTATACTGACAGTATGAAGGATCTTTCTCATACAGTAAATGGCAGCAGGCAGTGCAGTGGCAGGTTTGGTCCACGTGTCACTAACAAACTAATTGCTGTTTTTGGTTTTAAGCTTCTTACATTTGCAAGGGAGGGCCCGATTAACATCCATGTTTCAGAGAAGTCTGTAAAAACAAATGTGGTTACATTTAATTCAAAGTTGTTTTTGATTGAACATTTTGTGGTCTCAAGTATTCAAAATGCAGCCGCGAATGGCCAACAATACACTTAGAACACAAAGCCAGAGCAGCTGCATTTCCTATCAGCCATATAAATAATAAATGCTACATTATGAGTTGTCTGTGAGAGTCTTGTGATATGTTGCCTATAAGGCCAAGGTTGTGTCCTGGCAGAGGAAAATGACACAAATCGCAAATGACACCAATGGCTGTACGTGACACGACAAGGCATATGCAACTGCACAGATTTGACAAAATCATGTGGGCAGAAAAAGGACGAGAGAGCAAAGCCATATGAGAAAGACAGAAAGCTGCCAAGAGGTAGTATCCTTTTGAAAAACACTCCTGTAGCCCATCTGTGTGTATTTTCAGAAAATGTTGCCGGTGGTCATTTTTCAATATCAAATCCTATTAGCTCGAGAGATTCTGTGAGCGTTGCAGCAGACTGCTGGAGTCCTCTAGATCCCTGTGACGGAGCGAGAGAGGGGGCTGCAGAGCCATACTGGCCTTTTATCTGGACACACAGGGGTTATATAGCTTCTCTTTGAAGAAATATTCAACTAATTACCTTGGAGAGTGGCCTCACAGGCAGAGAGCAGGCTGTGAATTGTAAAGGCATTGTGAAGGGGTAAACTAAGGATGAGGATTTTCATCAAAAAAAAAAAAAAAAAAAAAAAAAAAAAAAAAGAGTTTCAGGTCATTGTTCCAACCTGTGAAAGATAAAGGGCTGCAATATCCTGAGAAGATGGAAGAACTGAAACGACCGGAGAGGGAAAAATGCAAAAGGCTGGAGTGGCGTAACAGTAAAAGCAATGTTGAAATCAAAGCATCTGAAAGAGCAACTCCACCTGGCTACCAACGCACTGTTTCTTTTACGATCAGAACCACTGCGGGACGTTGCACCAGTGCGCTCTGACGTTCTCTTAAAATATCAAATCTCAAGTTGTCACTTTTCATACAGCACCAAACATTCATTAGCTTAAAGTTTTGCCTCTGTGCTCACGAGCTCTCTGGCTAGGCAGACATGCAGATACTCATTTTGGCCGTGCGCTCCGCCTGGCACTTTCATTCATCTCCTCTGGTGGCGTGTGCGAGGCCTGGCAGCCGATCGGTGCCAGAACTCCAGAGGCAGCGCTTATCTCCTCTCATAGATCATGCCTTTGTGCTGAACTGATTCTGTGCTAAGGAATGCCAGGTGAGGCTTTAGTGTCCCAGTACGGCCCTCTTACTGCAGCAGCACCACCCCCCTTTAAAAAAAAAAAAAAACACAAAACACAAAAATCCCTTCGGCTTCCCCAGTCCCTCAGGCTTCCAGAGCCAGGCAGGCCTGTGGACGGCCCCCCTCTGGCACTGAGAATCACACTGGGCTAATTCACTTGGCGTCGGGTAACAGACATCTGTCACTCAGGATACCCCCGGGGACTTTCAGACAAGGCCCGATATTGGGGTGGGGGGGCCAAGCTATGTGATGCACTGTGAAATGCATACAGACACACACATACTTGCACACACCCTACACTGTGAGCGGTGCAGCACGATGACAGACCAAAAGCCCTTTGTGAGTAATAGTCATCCACACAGAGTCTGAAAACAAGTTTAGAAATTATGCATACATCCTCAATCCAAATAAAACCTCCTTGGGAGAGGTTTCTATAGCAACTGCCAGAGGGGCAGTGTGGTTCTGGTGAGGCGGTGGCGCACACGCTGTCCGAGTAGGAGCGGGACGTTAAGGGAGATCAGGTTTCCCCCTCCAGGGGCCATCCCAACTCTGCCCCCCCAATCTCACCCTCCCACCCCTCCCTCGACTCTGTGCTGCTGGTATTCACATGCTAATTCATCTCCACTGGTAATTACACTCTCTTTAAACCAACTGACAACTACAGCTGGAGTCAGGCTCTTAACGGCACACAGTTGGATGGATGGGTGTAGGGATGAGAGCAGTGTGTGAGTGTATACACTTGTATACATTTGTTGATGGGGCTTTTATTTTGGTTCTTCTCATCCGCCATAAAACGGTAGTGATAGATGATGACACATTATCTGTTCTCTTACCCAAAACAGCCCCGCAACCTCCCGTGTTGCTCCAGGCTGTGAAACAGCCTAGGCCTAATAGTTGTATGTAAATCAGGTAGCTCATAAAGATCAGTGTCTGCACTCAGCTGTGTACTTTGGCTAACATGGAAAGCACACCACATGTTCCAGTGAATCCACTCCAATGTGGTGGCTTGTCATGTTGGAAATTTAATCTCAGTGATGTTTTATTTACATCTAATTGAAATATTTCAAAATCATTGCTAATAAATTTAGCAGTCTGAGCTCTCTGAGTAACCACTGCCTCATCTTTTAAAAGTGTCGCACTCATCTGAGGAGCTGTACCTGTGTGAGAGAGGAAATAAAGCAGAAGCCCTGAGGAAAAAAGGATACAAGCTCTGGTAGAGAGTCAGCCGGGACTTGACAGCTCTGCTGGCATTGATACAGGTAGCCCGTACTAAACTTGGCAGCAGCATTCCAGTGACGATAGCGCCATTAAACAGAGGGCCAAAGAAGGGAACCTGGGGAAGTCAAGAAAGAAACAAAGAAATTAGACAAGTCGATAATAAAACTCAAATTTTAGTGCGGATCCTGTTTTTGCATGTGCAAGTACTTAAGAGACACATTTTTTGTTTAAAAACAAAACAAAAAACCCTCCATCTGTTTAGGGGAAGGGTTCAAGTTGAAATTGGATTTTGCCTAACTCTGCATGACAACCACACATATCTTATGCGAATCAATGTTAGGTAAATGAAATTAAAATGACAATCAATACTATACAATGCCCTCATATTGAGCTATTTAATACAAAGGGGCAGAATGAATTTCAAGAATAGCGTGTGTGTGTGTGTACGCGTCTGTTCATGCATATTGGAAGGGGGCCCTTAATCACTGAAGCTCAATAGTCACTGACCTGGAAGTTGACGTGAACGTCAAAGTCTTTCCAAAGGCCCTGCTGTCCTCAACTTGGCACTCGACCAGCCAAATTAAACAACAAAATAATGTATAACACCAGTGATACAGAATAATTAGCTAAATCGTGTGATGGAAACCTGAAGTTATACTATAAATACTCCAGTATCAGACATCTGAGTAGATGGTTTTACATGTTTTTTAATTTAGAGGAACTCTCCGATAAAAATGTTTATTTTTTCACGATTGGGCTCGGCACTGCAGCGGCAGCTCTTCTTCTGACCTTCACCCAATGAAAAAGGCTTCCTGTGGCAGAAACTCTTTTTTTAAATTATGATCTTTAACAACTGTAGTTTTTCAGCTTCATTCCAATTCCTCTTTGTGCAGCTCCCCGACAGAAAAACTGAAATAAAAGCTTCCTGCACAAAGGGTTAGTGTTTTCAGAGGTTATCTGGAATAGGCCCTCCATGAACATGAGTGGGCCTGGAGTAGCACTGAGGAAAACATATGGATGGAAGTCGACTAGTGTATGACTCATGAATGATAAAAGCAGTTTTGTGGGTTTTCTTAACAGCAATTGAGAGTTCCAGGAAAATGATTTAAATTTATTTTTGATAACTAATGTGCTCTCAGCAGTGAATAAAGTTTTGCATCTAGTGAACTGCTGTGTTGAATTTTGACATTTAACAAAGTCAAAACGTGGAGCTCTCAGTGACGAGGATGGCCTCGCTAGTTTTCTGTTTACACAGACAAAACCAGAACTCCATTAGAGCAATGACTATGATGCAAACAGAGACGGCAATAAATTGGCACTATGATCATTCACACTAAAAAACAATGAAAGAAACAAATACAGTCTGAATGAATTTCCCCTCCTCCTATGACTGTTATAAAAAACAATGGAAGAATAAGAACATAACGTGTTTCTTCAAGTTAGGCTTAAACTACAACATCATTTTACATGATCCATTTCCCGATTATCTCTCTCAAGATAACTTACTGGAAAGAAAAGAAAAATACCGCTTCACGAATTTTGCACTATGCACTTTTATAATGTGTGGATATATCTGAACATCTGAATCCAGTCATCCTGGACAAAGTAATTTCACGGTGCTCCAGGAGGCCACACATCGAGTGCAGCACTATGGAGTAACCAAGATGAAAGCAAGCCAACAAAGGCCAGTAACCATCTCTGAAAGCACATACCCACAGTGTGGGTAATAATGCATCGCTGGAGGAAAGACCTGAGAGCCTTCAGACAGAAACCACAACAAGGGAAAGAAGGTATGAAATTCAGAGCAAAGTCTGAACACAACAGAAGGACGAGAGTCTGCATTATCTAATGAACACAGACAGGAAATTAATGCAGTGCCATGCTGTATGCTGACTTGTTACAGCAGGTAACAGGTAGAATTAACCTGTTACCACTTTGTTTAGGTGCCCTTAAGACATGACAGTAAACCTGCATGCTTAAAAAGTAAAACCTCCCGTAAATGATCATTACACCTAAAGAGCTAAAACATCTGCAGTGGTCTATAACCTAAATATTCCACTCAGCACTGCCATTTACCTGTGGTTTCTTCATGATCTGGATGAAATACATGTGTTTCTTCATTGGGTAGATGACTATCAGCACATCTCCAAAGTCAGTTGGGATGATGCCGCGCCGGTAGTCCCTGGTGTGCTCGGACCACACTATGTGCACCTCATCGTTTCCCAGGTGACGCAGCTGCCAAACAAACAAAATTAGTCTAATCAACAGCTTAGTGAGCGAATATAATTTTCACTGCTTTGGGGAACTAGACAGGAACACAAATTTGGATGGATTAGGGCTTCTAACTGGGTTTTATCCGCTCTGCACTTAAAACCCACACTGCCTCCAGGAGACCGAGGAGCGGACTGAGGTTAAAAATCTTTTTAGAGGATGACTGACAATATTATTTTCTAGTGCATCTTGGGAGCAACTGTTTCTGGAGCAGGTGATCGCAAACTTTGTTTGAAAACAATGGTCTAAATCGTAGCCTGGCTCTGGTTTAGTCTCCTATTATAGCTTTTTCATTACAAATTCAAATAGCAAACATAAAATGGACAAAATTGAGCATTTTAAAACCAAATAATTCAAATCCAATTAACCTACCCCATCAGAGGTTAAATTGCTTCCCATTTCCACTCTGTTCACAACCACAAATGAAACTGGGCAGGACAAGAAGATTTGCTTAAATGACAGGAAATTGACTGATGCTAGTTTAAAAAAAAAAAAAAAAAAAAAAAGAAGGTAAACAGCTTTCCCCTTTTCAAAGTAAAATAGATGGGAGTAGCAACATTACATTCTCTGATGACAAGTGTAGATCATTTATTAGCTGGTGGTCCAGTGATGTCGAATCAAGCAGTCCTTCCATTTTCCAGAGTATCATAGACACTGAAAAGTGAGTCTCTACTCAGAAGAAAACATCTGCCAATGTACTGTTGGCCTAATGAGCCATTAAGAAACATGCCCTCGCCACCAAAAATGCAATTAGCACATTCTATTATAAGCCCTTAATTATGGTAATACGCTAATCTTAAACAAATCCACGGCATGCTGATTACTGGAGCTCGCCAGTTCAGTCTGTCTGTCCAAGGATCAGCAGGTACCAGCCAGGTCAGTCACTGGGACAATTTCAGAGAAAATGTTGAATATGCATTTGCTGCAGACAATCAGCAGTGGGATGTTAATTTGGGTTAAGATAGTAGCATTTGGATTAGCTGAATGACAAGTTTAATGAGGATGCTTATGCTCTAGTCAATCATCTTCTGCACCAACCCATTTATCCCCTTGTTAATCACATCCAAATGTTTGAGACTTCTTTAATAAAATGTGATTCAAGTCAAAGGCTCTTGTCCAATTAGCCCACCTTGACCTTCCACCCAACCAGTGGGGTTCACATACATGGAAACTGCCACCCAAAGGATCCAGAAGACAAGAGCATCCTAATGAAAACAACCTGCAGCAACCTAGTTAAGACGTAGCGCCCGAGGGTAACTGGGACGGCTAAGGCACCCGTCCATCTCCCTCGCTTTCACACACATCCACATCGTCTACATGGCCTGACCCCAACCCTGCAGGTCATTTCTATAAATGCATTACTGAAGCCAGCTGCTGCTGCTGCTACAGCCTGCAGTGCCTTAAAACCCACAATTGGATTGAGGAATTCATGGTTTTCCCTCTTTTCTTTTAGGTTCCATCAGCTTCAAACAGGCAATCTACTCAGCGAGAGCTACCCCATCCGTCTCTCCCCTACAGTATGCCTCTATGGTTACAGCAAGTAAAGTGGGTGACTGCTGGACTAAAAGTGTTATTTTTAAATTGACAGAGTAACATCGTACTTAGACACAGACAAAGCCTGTTTCTCATTCCAATTTTTTCATACCACTTTCTCTTCTCTTTACCTTCCCATCGTTTTCTGAAACATCGGCGCAAGCGGCCCAGCCTGCAAATTTCTCTTGGACCTGTAGCTGGTGTGGAGATCTGTGCGAGGTGAGCACGAGCAATTACAGAAGTTCCCGGCGAAACTGAATGAGAGCGGAGTGGCAGCACACTCTGCTTTGGGCACGGCCACCCCTCCAGCGCCACACTCTGGACAAACCGAGACAAAATCTTTCCTCAGACTAATTTCCGTGGCCACTAAACACAGTTCCAGGATGGGTTTGGAATGAGTAGGCGATTATTTGTGAAATGGAGAGGGGGATGTCTGTTGAGGGCTGGAGTGTGGCTGGATATGAGGAGAGCCTGATGAATTTCCCTCCTCAGCAGGGTACTGTATGAGAAGATTGGCAGCACGGGCAGGGGCCTTGCGGCTCATTTCTTTCTGCTAACTGCTACTGCTGCACTACAGCTCAGAATCCCACTGCAGAACCAAATCGATCGCTCCTGTGGCGGCAGCAGGAATTGGATAAAAGGATCCTGCCGGCATCCGGCCGGCGCCTGCCCTAGCAGGGAGAGCTAATGGCTGAATCCAGGCCCTGGTCACAGCACACAGGGAGGGGGGCAGGGGCTAGCAGAATCATAGTCATTACCACAGCAGCACATGCCCTCTCTTCACTCACGCGCCTGCGATTCTCTACTCCTCAGGCCTTCCTGGCCAGGGTCACTAATCAATGCCCACACTCTGGAGTCACACCTCCTGATCACAGCTTAACACAGAGCTGAAGGCTGCAACAACATACTGCTCTGGGCAGGCATGGCTGTGTAGCCATTTCACTGCAGTACATTCTTCTTTTTCTAATGCACTTAGAACTTAAGGTGTGCAAGTAATTCAATACAGACAATCCAGATGTGCGAATAGTCAATACGAGCTTTTTTTTACCTTTTTGGTGAGGGAGTCATCAGAATCAGATGGCATACGCGTTGAGACGTGGAAAATTACTTCCACAGTGGAGGTAGCATAATAAGGAGCCGTTAGACCTGTGCTGCCATTCCTCTGGAGCCCGCCCATAAAGCCACAGTGCGTGGCTAGGTCCACCTGAAACGTACAAGCAAAAGTTACTCTTTTCTGAGTGCGGCTGTACAACTTTGTGCAAATATGAATGCAAAGATTTGATTTAAAGTCGTGGTTTGCACCTCCCATCCCAGTCCAGATACAAAGTCTTCATAGTCCTGGCTTCCTGTGCTATTAGACAAAATGGAGCACTTGTCTTCTTGGCCTTCTCCAATGTAGAACACAGCAATCTTGTGCGTCTCTCGGCTACAGAACAACAACAAAAAATAAAAAGCAGCCAGCATTAAAAGAACAACAGCTACACTAACCAGTTTAACAGTTGTAACACAACTTGAAAAGCCTTTAACTACTTGAGCTACTCTGGATGAAATGCTTGGATTACACCTCGCTTATCAAGGTAAATTGTGTAATTGAATTGCTGAATAAAAATCTCAAGCACAGAGGGGGGGGACAAAATGTTTATCTCCAAAAACCCGTCTGCTATCTATCCATCAGCTTTAACATCATGTTTAAAAAAAAAAAAAAAAAAAAAAAAAAGAAGAAGAATGGCAGCAAAGTCCCCCCATCCTACTTTCCCTGTTGCCATGGCAGTACATTGTGCTGGAGTGCATTTAGGAGACTTTGCATGATTGCGCACAGGTTGTTATTGTTCAACCAGGTCTACCGTCTGGGAGAAAACGGTCCACTTCTGAGGGCATTATTTTATAACCTCCTGTCATTAGCAATGTGTAGAGCACTAATTGATCGGACTACGAGAGTCCAGTAAGAACGATAAGAACAGGACGGAGAGAGTGATGGAGGGAGACTTCCAGGGTTGTGCTCAGCAGGAGTTGGCACAGATTAGCAAATTCATGGAGGAGTAAGGGAGCACTGCAGTCTTGAAAAACTGGAGGGCTCGCAGGACATGCAAAGAGTTAATTCCACTCATTCAGAAACATGTTTATGGGCGATCAGGAAAACACTACATTACAGACAACACTGCTTATCATGACGTGCTAAATCATCACAAGATGATACAAAACTCCCAAGTGAACTTTACCACTGCCTGGAGTCCAAGTTCTTCAGTTCCCGTAAGAGTTTAGAGTTTTTCTTCAGCAAATGGAAGCTTTTCCTGTTGAACAACAACAAGTCTTGATTAGATTAGACATGAGGATTTTAATCTGAAACTAAAACTGCCATCAGCGGCTTAAATCATCACAAAGAAAATAAGTGTTAAACCAAAGTTGTGTTTTGCAGATCTGATGACCAAGGACCAAAAAAAAAAAAAAACAGGCACAGGTGCAAGCCCCAATCTCCTCTTGTAGTGTGCATGTTACACCATCACCATTAAGAGGTGTAAGCTTTTAATTTACGGGGCAGAACAGCAAAGATGAGGCTCTGCAAGCTAGACCTTAGTGAAAACAGCTGGGCACTCTTATCCTGTGGAGAGGAGATTAAGACACTGCGGACTCCAATGTGCCTTTAAATTCATCCTCTCTCTCTTTGAGTAACAAGCCAACAGCTGAGTTACTTTGAAGATGAAGAAAGTGACTTTGTGTCAGACTTAACAAGAGGATGTGTCTTGTTCTTTCTCTCTGATTGCCTGCATTTAATGTGTGTTTGTTTTTAGACTAGTGACCAATAAGTAACAGACCCCTTTCTGACTTCTCTTAAAACCCCACTTTCCTCTATTTGTTTCTTTCAGTAAAGAGCAGGCTATTTGCAGTCTGTCTGTAATACCTGCGATCCCAAGAGTTCATCCCAAGATCATTAAGCAGCAGCCGGCAGAAGTAAAAAGGAGCTTTTGGTTCCTGGTGGGACGGTTCGCTCTGGCAGTCAGCCCGAAAGCTTACATCAGCCTCCCACCTCCTCACTTGCTCCTCCTCCTGCTGAGTCTGACGATGAATGGCTTCCAGGATGGCGTTCTCTTGCTCTAGGTTCATTCCGTGTGGTGACGCGGCCGGCTGGTTAAGCTTAAGTCGTGGCTGGGGAAGACATTCTGGGCTGCTGTGTCCGAGGTCCTCCAAAAGCTTATCGAGAACATCAAACTCATCCTCCTCGCAAGAGTTTGAGAGGCAATCGGAGCCTGAGCAATGACGCTTGTGCGGTCCTGCTACTGGGGAGGGGGGCGGGTTGCTGCTGTGGCTGACTGCAGTGGCTGCAGAAAGGGAAGGGTCAACTGGTTTAAAGGCTCCCACATCAAAGTCTTCATGTGCGGTGCAGTAGAGGATGGCACCATCCCACGAGTACTTGCCCGAGATGTCCCGGACAATGACGCGTACTTGGGAGGAAGTGTGCAGGGACTCTCCAACGGTGGGAGTCTCGGCAGGGATTTGCAGGTAGGACACCAGCGTGCTGTCGTTGAAGACAAAAAGCTGCAGGTTGGGGCTTTTGAAGACCTCGGAGGACAGCTCGGACGACTCCACGTATGGGTTGTCATGATTTTCGCTCACGAGGCTGTGGAGGAGAGCGGGGCCGCCGCTCAGGGGATGATGGCCCAAATGGTTCACAAGGTGTGTCATGACCATCCGTGCCGTCAGCGGGATCAGCTCCATGTTGCGGCGACGCTTTTCTGGTGGGAGAAAAAGGATGGGAGGATGAAAAAAAAAAATACAAGCAAGCAAGTGTAACACATGATCAATAGTAAAAATGACCAATGGGTTTAGAATACAGCTGCACTCAGGGCTGTCTTTTATAATATGCTCAATGTAGACTTTAACAATATTTAAAAAGCTCCACATTTGTGTGTCGACATGTTACACTCTTTATTAGCTCCTTTTACACAAACCCAAATCTGATTCATGATTACTAATAGGGCTACTTTATTCATTTCTCACAATAGCTTAGCTAGCACACCTCTAAGTAGGTAGCATCTAATCATAAGAGACAACTTTGAAAAGCCCATTGAGTCTTCTTACAATGGACAACCATTGAGACTGGCCAAGTGCTAATGAGAACCACCATCTTTGCAGACTTCTGAATAGAATTGTATTTTGCAGATTGCATTTATGTAAATGTACAGGTTTTTACTCCCAAGTGAAAGGCATGCCGTGCTTTATTCTGCAGGGATGTGGGAAAAACAAGAAGATGCACTCTTGCATTGTGACAGTGCTATCAATACCATCATCCCCCATCAAAGTGGAGAAAGCTCTTTAGAAAGCAGGCCAAGCTGCATTAGAGATGCACTGGCCCTTTGATGTGACTTGATCAATATGAGGTGAGGGCATGAATATAACTAGGCCGGCACTCTTTGGTTTGCCCTTTTGATAGTGTTTTGTTATTTCAACCAAGACTCTGTGCAGCTGTGCACCAAAAAAAAAAAAAAAAAAAAAAATTGAAAAAAAGCAGAGGTGTGATGAAATTTTCAAGACAAAAGCTTCTGTTTGAATTTCTTACATTGTTTCAGGAGACATTCACATTGTGTATTTGGACTTTGAGGACTTTTTAGAAGTTGAGGACGCGAGAGAGAAAGAGGAATATGTTGCCTAATGGAATCACAAGGTCACAAAAAGATTTTTTTTTTTTTTTAAATCTAAACCCCATAATGGGTCTTCTCTTAGGGCTGAGTACTAATGTGAACATTCCATTCCCTGTGATGGTTGATTTCCTTTTTATACTTTTAATAAGATATTGACATTTAATGGAGAGGCTCTAAATGGATGGCCTACTTAGAGTTTGCTTTTACCTGTAACCTGTTTTGGATGATTTTTTGTAGGGGTGGGAGGGTGGGGGCAGACAGGGCAGAGAGTTTGGCTCCATATTCTGGGAGCTATAAAGTAGGAACTATAAAATATAGAGCTGGCAGCAGTATCCAAAACATTACGATGCAGCAGCTGGCATCAAGTACTAACTGGCTTTTAACCCTCCTATGTAAACCTATGTACATACTAACACATACTATATAACAATTAACAATTAACCTTTTTATGCAGTGCGATCTTTCTCAAAACAGATTCAGATTTAGGAAATGACATTTTCCTGCCCTTACCCTCAGCCACAGTGAGTAGGTTGCCTAAGTCCATGGTGGGTGTCTGTGACGGGGGTGGCTCGCAACGCTTAACCTGACCCAGCATGAGGTCATAGTCACTGGACAAGTCAGACAGGGTGAGCAGATAGTGGCTCTGCTGGGTGTGCAGGTTGGACCCAGCCACACAGCAGTGCAGCACCTGAGGAACGAGAGCGGAAGAGCAAAAATGTAGTGATTATTTGGCATGCATGGGTTGTTTTGCTACAGTACTTTGTAGAGACACCCCAAACACCACGCAATACCATAATATTACTACATTAAACTCACAACATTACTGGAATCACCTTTTTCAAACTACAAATTATGCCCTCAAAGTCAAACTTCAGTCATACCTCTTTAATCAGATAAGATAAGAGACTGCAGTCGGCAACTACATGCCAACAGTTTTATATTTCTTAGAATTCAGCAATTAACTGCAACAGATTGCTGAAAATCACATTTATTGCCATCTACATAGACAGAAGTTCTCATTTAACATAAATTGATATTTAACTATTACATTTGTGCTCAGCAACCTTCCTGCTCCAGTGTGATGGCTGCACTTACAGCCACACAGTGGTAATACCCACCATGTTAGTGTAGAGGCTTATAAGTAACATTGCATTCACATTTCTTTCTTTAAATATAGGAATTTATTTACAGGACAATAAATAACTGGTTTTGGTTTAGAATTCATTCACATATCCACATAACACTGCATTCTAAAATAAGTGCGCACATTTTAGTTTAAACTGTTATGTATGATTAATTTTTTGTTTTCTGAGTTACCTTAGTTGCAGCTGCTCCAGTCCCTTGATTAAGGAGCCAAGAGGTGGAAAAGGGGCGGAGCGAGCTTTAAAGGAAGACTACAAATTGGTTCATGCCATAACTCGGGACCATGGGGGGGGGAATTGGAGTTCATTATGTTTGGTTTAGTTAGGTTTTGTGTGTTTTACCCCTTCTCCTGTTTTTGTGGGCTGATCAGCCACTATTCAAGTTTCCCCTTTGTCTCATTAAGTGAAGTCAGTTTGTTTGAGTTATCAGTTGTGTTGTCAACTTTGAGTAGAGTTTTGTTATTTTGACCTCTTTTATGGGTCCAAGATTTTGATTCTTTTTGCACGAGTTAACCAATTATGTTTTTTGGGTTAAATAAAAAAAACTTTTTTTTTGGACTTTAACCTGTGCCTAAGTTTCCTTCACTGCTTGGTCCATCACATCCAGTATAACCAGATTACAGGCAGCTGGCAGTTAGTTGAGTCAAGACTCCTTAAGTTTTGCTCATTGACTCATTCATACTGATGGCAACATGTCAGCAATCTGTCTACATAAACAGTGCAGTGATTTATGGTAGTGATTGGGGTCAGTCTAAATCAGACTGCAACTGTTTGCAACAAGGTTGCCTCCTATCAGATGACTTGTGTGAGCAACACCAACCTCACTCCAGGCAACCATTTAGTCACCAAAACTTGCAATTGGTTGCTGAAAAAGGAGGTCGCTGTCCTACTTTCACTCGTGTGACTGAGCCATTAGCGTGCTTTGAATTTGGAGACAACTTGGTCAAGATAAAGCATAATTTATGGTCCTGCTAATGTGTCCATCTACACATTTGAGTTTGAAGAGGGAAATGCAACATGTGCTCCTGTGCAGTCCTCAAAGATCCTGACTGAGCACAGCTGACGAAAGTGTCTTTTTAATGTTGACAAGTGGGCTGGAATAGAGGAGAATGACAGCAGAGTTCCCGGGAATGGGAGCACAGACAGTGGCTGCAGTAGAGACTCTTGTTTTTAACACTTGGATTTACTTCAGCTCTTTGCATGTTTTAACTTTGCTCTCCTCTGCAGCTGCCTAGTGGACCATCAGCAGTACAAGTAAGAGTGGCCCACAGACCGGCTGTACCCTAAACTTTGTAAACCGCCTCCATTTGACATCAGAGCTCTCTGCAGGCAGTCCCCAGACTGGAGCGGACAGCGAACACTTTCCTCTGCTGGACCATAAATCCCGCTGAAGTGTGTCTAGTGTTGGACGTTTTTCAGTTGAATCAATTTAATTAAAAGTTTGCTTAGCTAAGGTTATCTGAGGATGCTGGTGAATAAGACGAGCCACCTTGTTTACAGTATTCCCAGATTTTAATTCATTTTATTAAATATTGATATTCGATGTATGTTTACCCTCCCCCCCACTCACTCATAGTACTAGAAGGTTGAAGTCTGGTAAGAAAATAAGCAGCAGTGTCTGTCGTGACTGTGCACGACGCAGGAGAACGTGAATGGGGAATATATGGTCTATTTACATCATAAGGCAAAAAGGGGAGAGAGGGAGAAAAGGGAAGAAAAGAGGGTCTTTATAGCCACTAATCCATTTCTTCTGTGATGTGTGAGTGTATCGATCTACATAACAGATGGCAGAGCATCCGTTGGCAGTGCTAGATAAGGCGCACTGGGGCAGTTGATTACAGCCACTGAACAGGTTTACACTGTTTGATTTAATTAAGACTTTATCCTTGTGCTCAGCTCCCACCACAAACACGCATGCTTAGCCACATATACATATCCGAGTACACAGACAAACACACCTGCATAGTGTATAATCTGAGCAAAGGTAAGGGGGTAGAACATATGCCTAATGTATGTAGAGGAGGGCACCTCTTATTCAGAGTGGAGCAACTTGGGTAAAGCCATGCAAAGGCTAATCCCATTCAGCGCACACACACTTGGCTGTGAGACGCTGGCCCTGCCATGTGAAACAGTATTGTGTGGGGCAATGTAGACAGTATGTGGATGATTCCATCAAGCAGACCTCTGGGTGCGTAGGGGGAGGGATTTGAGGCTTGATGCTGAAAAGATGTGAACCAAACAGCTGCTACACCAAAGCCCCAAAGAACTTCCTCTGTGGAGATGTGGGGGGGGGGGGCAAACCCACGACTGTGCTTGACAACAAATTGACTGCAATTCGCATAGCAACAGTTCCTGGAAGGTAACACAGTAGTTAGAAGGGCACATGGTGCATGAAGATGTGAGCACACTATGTACACAAATAAATCAAATAATAAAACACGGATGTACCTATCTTTGCTGTCTCTCTTGCACGCACGCACGCACGCACGCGGTGCAGCTGGCTGCTGAGGCAGGCACAGGGAGCAGATGGAGAAGCCTGAGCAGATCTCCAGTGAACCGACATGGTCTAGTGCAATGTTGCTTTTTACAGTTATGTGCTCGCTGTTAGTCAACCGTACCAACTTTTTTCACTTTTGTCTGCATCCCAGGAAGCATGGAAGCCATTCATTAGCTGTAAACATGGTCTCTGCTTGCATTTGATTGGTCGGCAAAGGACACATTGTTAAGTGCCCAAGTGGAGTCATTTATGACCCCAGTCGTATTTTTAAATGTGTAGCTGTGATGCTTTCAGTCATAAGAAAATTTTCTATAAACTTTTAGCAGTTTTTGCTCTGCTGTTGTGACAAAGACAGTGGAAATATGTCTTTTTTTGTACATTTATATTAATTTTCCACTTCTAATCACTACATTGCAAGACTTTCCAGCGAATCTCTGCTAACCGATGTCTGAATAAAAACGATATAATTAAATTGATTAGAATATTTTAGAAAATCTAAACAGAAAATGGAGCCAGGATGGGGGAAAAATTGTGGTCACTAAAATAGCTTGGGCGCTTGAGCGTTAAATATAAATTTGTAATTAAAGGAAAATGAGGCATGAAACAACCTGTCAGGGAACGTGGGTAGTGGTGGAATAAAGGGAAGATGTTTTCTATTCTCTGCCTGGTATACAGAATAATTAGCAGCCAATGTGACAGTGGAAACATATAGATTTCAGCGTTGATATCACATTAATATCATCACACCTTGAATGAAAGCCAGAAGGACTGTGCTTTTTGTGCACTGATAGACAACCAATCATGCTTAATTGTCTTTGCTTTCATAGCAGCTGCAGTCTCTCTCATATTAAGACATATTCCATTCAAATCTCCAGGACAAGCATTTATAGCCTGAGCTTATCAAGTGGACAAAGGGTCCCGTTTGAATAATTGGACCATTTCTTATCAGGGGTGACATCCTTACAAAGATCTGCCGTTGACCGCATCTGCCCAGACAGGAGGGAATGAATAATACCTCATTCATTTGGGCCCGAAGCTTGGCCCTCATCCTCAGGGTCAGACCATAAAATAAAGAGTTTGAGGGACAAAAACAGAGGAGCAGATCCAATACGGAATATTTTGCATGCTTGAAACAAACACTCCTGAAGTTTCCTAACAGTTGTCAGGGTTTCGTACATATGCTAAATGCCAGTCACGAGTGTAAGCTGCTGTGGACACTTCTACGCCTTTGTGCTACAATAATGTTAAATGATGCATAGTCAAAAGGTCATGGTAGAGGTGAGTCTAATTAAAGTGGCAAGCCCATGTGGCGGGGTGGGGGTGGAGATGTCAAAGCTTAAGTTGCTGTGTCTGTTTGCAAAAGCTGCGTGTGGTTCAGAAGACTATGAATATGAATCGGTAAAAGGTGGCTCTATTCCAGGCTGCCACTGATGACACCCACCCTGTAGATGTAGTCCAGAAGCGGGGCCTTGTGGGCTGTGTGGTCCTCCAGTGACGGCATGGTGATAGGCTCAAGCAGCAGACTCAAGGGAACAGCCATGCACCAGTCCAACAGGCAAAGCAGAAGCGATACCATCAACTACAGTGTGAGAAATGAGAGAGAAGTTCCTAATTTATTTCAGTCACACACTAACAAATAAAAGATATATTATTAACAAAGCAAAAAAAAAAGAAAAAAAAAAAAGAGTGGCAGCGGATAACAGGTGAGAGCATCAAAGACGCAGTGGAGAACGAGGTCGAAGAGAAAACAAATCACTTCAGTAGAAACATTCCTCTGCAAATGCACCATTCCAACATGATAGATCAAGAGCCTTTAGATCTCAGCCATTTCATGTCCCATCCTTTCCAACATGTACCTTTTTGTCCGCTTCCACCGTTGAGTGCTCTGCGCTCGGCAACAAAAAGGCTATTGTGGCCACAAAGATCTGTATTGGGACAAAACAAGGAGAAAGATAATTGGATGACACACTCCCATTCATCATCTGAGTCAGGGCTGATTGCTAAAACGGAGACGAAACCACAGGATGAGGACTGTGCACATGAGCGAGCGACAATTTGTGTAACGTTTGCATTTAAATGCTAAAAGTTATTTCAAAGGAATTTCTCTTATTGGATGTGAAACACATTTACATGGGTTACATCAATGTGTGTGTGTGTGTGTGTGTGTGTGTGTGTGTGTGTGTGTATTCATATCTTAGTGGGGACCACAAATTGGAAGTTTACTAAACTTCTGGGGACCAAAATCATGGTCCCCATATGTTTTAAGGCATTTTTACATTACCATTGGGTTATGGTTGGGTTTAGGCATTCATTTCTGATGGTTAGGGCAAGCAGCTAGAGAAGGCATTATGTCAATGGGATGTTCCCACGAGGATAGCAAACCAGACTTTTGTGTCTGTTTTACCTCAATAATTTTCTTTGGGAATGTGGGCTCCAACCTCTGGAGATGCTCCCAGTGAGAGATGAGCAGCTGAAAGACGTCACAGGCTACCTGCGCCACTGCTTTGTTCCCAAACTTTAAAAACAAAAACAAAAAACAAACAAACAAGAATTGAAAAGTGAAGAGGAACTGCACCGTCAGTTAAAAAAAAACAACAACAACATAACACACTAACTGGCCACTAAATTAGATACATCTTTTCAATTGCTAAGCAAAAGCAAAAAGCAGTTTATCTAATATATATATATCTAATCATCCAATCACATGTACATTGGTCCCTCGTTTATCGCGGGAGTTGCGTTCCAAAAATAACCCGCGATAGGTGAAATTGGATGTGTTAAGGCTGTAAACCCCCCCCACTACACACTTTGTACACTTTTCTCAGACAGGCACGAACATTTTCACTTTTCTCTCTTGTTTAAACACTCAAAGTTCAAACATTCGTAGAAAAATAAGTCCAGTATTATAGAATGAAACCAAAGACACCCGCAGGTGGCATGATTCTCGTCGGCATTGTTGTGTTTGTGGGTGAGAAAACTTACAAACATACAGTGCAGCACTTCAAAGTTGCATTGCTAGCGATCAAAGATTTGACAAGCTGAACACATTCTGTACTGTACAGGAGACATGGCACGGGGTTGATTGACAATGGTCTACAGCCAATCAGGAGGCAGAACACAATGCGCTGTAAGAAAAAAAAACAAACAAAAAAAAAACTGCAAAATTGCACCAAAAAAAAAATCCCAGAGGCCGCGAAAGGTGAACCGCGTTATAGCGAGGGACCACTGTAACTTGATGCATTTAGGACATGTCTGTGGACATGATCAAGAAAACCTGCTGAAGTTCAAACTGAGCATTAGAAAGGAGGAGAAAGGTGATTTAAGTAGCTTTGAACGTGGGGTGGTTGTTGGTGTCAGACGGGCTGGTCAGAGTGTTTCAGAAACTGTTGATCTGCTGAGATTTTCCCACAAACCATCTCTAAAGTTTACAGTGAACAGAGAAAATATAGTGAGCAGTAGTTCTCAAAGAAAATGCCTCGTCTTCCTGCCAGAAGTCAGAGTACAACGGCTGAGCTGATGGGAGTCACTGTAACTAACGTAACCACTCATTCAAACCAAGATATGCAGAAGAGCTGAATGCAGCACAACATGTCGAGCCTTGAAGCAGACGGGCTACAGCAGCAGACCACGCCAGGTGTCAGCTGAGAACATGAAACTCAGACTACAATTTGAACAGACTCAGCAAAATTGTACAATAAAAGATTGTAAAAATATTGCCCGGTCTGATGAATATCCGTTTCTTCTGCCACATTTGCATAGCTGGCTAACAATTAGAGTGGGCAACATGAAAGATCCATTATGCCTTGTATCAATAGTTCATGCTGCTGCTGGTAGTGCACAGGTGTTGGGCGATACTTTATTAGCACACTTTGGACCCCTCAGTACCAACTGACTATTGTTGTTAGCCACGCACACCCCTTTGATTTGAAATTTGGGACACAAAGTGTTGCACAAACAGTTTCTGAACACGACGATGAGTTCACTCAAATGGCCTCCATAGTCACCAGATCTCAGCACACTTGAGCACCTTTGGGATGTGGTGGAGCAGGAGATTCACATCTGCAGCAGCTGTGCGATGCTATCATGTTGATATGGACCAAAATCTCTGAGGAATGCTCCCTGCACCTTGAATCTGTGCCTTGCAGAATTAAAACAGTTCTCAAGGTTAAAGAGGGCCCAACCTGGTATTAGAAAGAGTTAACTAATACAATGCCAGATGTGTGTATTCACACATGTACAAGTGACCATTTTAAGAGGTGGATTTGATCAATTCACAAGAGGCTTATTCAACAAAATCTTACTTAAAGTGCCTCAAGTTTCCAGCAGAGTTAAATAACATGATGTGATCGAGGTATCAGAAGTAAGACAAGTTGTCAAAGGGTGTAAAATACACTGAAGACTTGTAAGAGGACAGTACCCACAGTAAGACCTCTGAAACACTTTAAGGAAAAGGGATCAGGTAGGCAGACCTGAAGAAAAAGAAAAAAAGCCTGCTGAATAAAGAATTTAACACTTTAAAAAAAAAAAAAAAAAAAAAAAAGCAAAGTTAGTGGTCAGTAAACTGCTTTTCAGGAGGGGAAACAAGGCCAAATGCTTGGGCTGGGCTAAGACATACCAGCATTTCACACTTGATTACAGATGAATCCATCTCTGAAATCTACGGCAGTAACAGAAGGATACGAGAGGGAGGGGGGGAAAAAAAAAAAAAAGAGTGATGGGAATATCAACTCCTCTCGAGTTGGACACCCCTCGATTCTGCAGAGATAAGCTCCACCCGCTGATTTGCATTTCTGCAGACAAGGATTCACACTCCCGTCCAAACACATCTCAGAGCTGTGCAGGAACTACTTGAAGACCAAAGACGACTGAGAAGTGCAGACTGTCGTAGACTTTCTTCCACCCTCAATGACCTCGACTCAGCTGAACTCGTGTTTGAAGAGCGAGAAAGTCAAGCTCTCCTGTCATCACAAGAAGCTTTTTGGAACATGGTCAAATCATTCTGGTATGACATCGGCTATCAGATTTGACAAAAACATGAGGAGTCATGCTTAAAACCCCCCCAAAAACAACCATTTTTTTATGTTTATCTTCATTGGAACTTTTAATCTAACCAATAGTTCATTTTCAATCTAAACACTGTAGGAAAAGAAGGGAAAGAACGTGTTTTATCATGATACTCTTTAAATTTTGCAGATACATAAACCTCAGTGGAGCCTCTCCTTACACTTAAAAAAAATGGGCCAGTTTTTTTTAAAGACACTAGAACTACAGAAGTACTTTGAATGTAATGTGTGATCTTAAGGCAGAACATTAATTATCTGCAGAATCCCTGATTTTAAGGCTTTTAAATGTCTCTTTCAGAGCTTCCAGAGAGTAACGCAGGAACAAAATCTCTTGCTGCATTTGTGTCACGTAATTTGTAAAACAGCAGCGGGACAATGCTGATTAAAGACAGTGAAAAAAAAAGTTTGAGGACACACTGACTGTGCCAAAATTTGGAGTAATTTTCCTTAAATTTAGTTTTGCACTTACTGTGCAGATAATCAGCATAATTTCATTTCACTTCAAACCATGGTTCATTTTCCCCAGACTCATTGAAGGAAAGAATTGAGCTGTTGACAATTTTCTTTCAAATGTGGATTTCTTCAGTGATTTGAAATTCTTTGTGGAGAAATAGAATTTCCTATTTCTTCCAGCTGAATGCCTCTCAACATGTAACAAGGGCAGACAATGTGGGGAGTGCAGAAATGGCCAAACACAAAAAGGGGCCCTGAGAGTTCAGCACCTGCTTTTAGAAAAGAGACTCTCAGTGCCACTCTTCCCCCTAGATCCCCCACCCAGCCTATACCCTCTATTTTGGGGCTGGCTGAGTCTGTGTGTCAAGTTGTACAGGGGAGTGATTACTGCTCCATTAGAGAAGGGGGCGAGGGGATGGGTGGGGGCTTTGCTCGAGCAGGAAGCTGGGAGATGTAGCTGCTTAAATTGGCCCACATCTACTGAGAGTGAGCAGCCTGGAAATTACGCCACCGCCCCAAACCCTTTTCCCATGGAAGAAAAAAAAAAAAAAAAAAAAAAAACGAAACCAAAAAAGCCCACAAACCCACAGCTTCTCTGCATCTCTTCACTTAGGGAGAAAAAAGGCCTGTTCCAGAATATACCCACGAGTCACATTTTATTCTCACACTTTTTGCCCGTGTTGAAAATTTTTCTGCAGTCCTTTTATGTAATCAACTGTCATTTTAGTTTGAGATAAACAATGTAAGGTTTGCACAAAAAAACAGCTTCTAACACCCATTCATTTCAGGACAGCGGACTTATCTGTGTTCTCAGCACATGACGCAAGCATTTAAAAAAAAAAAAAAAAAAAAAAGCGCACCTGTAGTTTCTTGTAAATGAAACTGGAAATGCACAAGTGCAGCGTCCTCGGGGAAGAGGTTCACTCACCTTTAGTGTCACTCCCAAAACATTGATGGCATCTTTAACCTGGGGGTGGATGTTCTTTTGCATTAGCTCCTCACACACCCACAGACCCAGGCTGCACACAGCAATGCACCTGAATCGCAGCAGCAGAGAACAAAATGTGCAGATTTAAGTAGAGCAGGATCTGAATGGGATCAGATGTTTTGAGAAATAAACTACTATATAATTAAAACCATGAACATTTGGACTTTTTTTTTTTTTGCAAACAGGCTTTAGAAGCATTGCATCAAATTTTAATGACGGGTAGCCACTGCTTCACCACCATTAGCCTCTTCAAATTCCTTATGTATACAGAAATGTACAGCTGCAAAGAGAAACTAAATGTTGGAATGAATACATGTCTGCACTGATTGGTTGTACTTTGTTTGTCTACAAAACTAAACCGCTCCAGTTTATGTCTTTATTGAACACTAATCATTCACAGTGCAGCCTGGAAAAATGAAGTGAACCTCGATGCTAATGAGTTCTCCACAAGCTACTTGAGTGAGTTTTGAGATTGGAAGTGTTGGCTGTAGAGGTGCTTCTCCAAAAGAGGAGGCTGGTAAAGTGTGGTTAGTTAGTCTGCCCCTCTTAAAAATGATTGGCTGGTGTCAACAACGCCTCAATGACAATTTAGTGGAAGAACAAAGCAGGAAAAGGCTGCGGAAGCATTTCAAAACATGTCATGATGACAATAACAACAATATGATAGAGCAGGAGGAGGAGGAGGAGAGGCAGGTGTAATCCAAAGATTACAAGAGCACGACAATCATGACACAGGTGGACAAGATTGTTAAAAAATATGTATTCTGTATTTATCGAGAAGTGATCAACATAGAAACAGTATTAGAAAACAGTGACGAGCAGGTTCCCAAACCTTTTCTTGGAACGTGTGTAAAACGCGATCATATCAGACAGTGCAACAAAAGAATTACTAATCATACCTCGCCCCTTCATAGTGCTCCTTCGTTGCCGTCTCCAGCAGGATGTTGACCAAGTAATTCTGAACAGAAACGACAACACCAGTTAACAGTTCTCAGTGACAATCCAAGCCATTCCTTCCTTCATCTTTATAACAATAAGACGCCATTAACTGTAACACACAGCCTTGTAGTCATGTTAAATCAGTGTGATGTTCACACTGCTGTATCTAATAACGTTTAGGATAAGTTTGTCATGATTTACACAGCAGACGACTGATTGATCCTAATTAAAACAACATCTGCTTTTATATGAAGTGTCCGTATTCCCGTCACTGCACATCATGAGCGTTTACCTTGATATCCTCATTGCTCACACTGATGTCATCAGAGCCAGGCACACGGTGCAGTATAGGAATCTGGAGGTAGAGGTTTGGGAAACACACGAGGGAGCCCAGGATCGTCTGAGCTTCCACCCTCGGAGCCTGGAGGAAATTTTAAAAAAAGAAAACCAAACCCACGGCATCATTAATACCAGAGACAAACACATAAACAACCCGCTTCAAGCGAAAGGCGCAGAACGCATACGATGGATGAGGATTTGAGGGAGCTTGCAGATTTAATTTCATCTTTATTCATGATTCTGCTGACGGAAAAACATCGCACATGTTAGGCGCTGGACAACAAAATGATTGATTAAATGCATGATGGGTGCAGCTCTGTAGCAGGTTGTGCTGCTGCACCTGATGAGCTGCTGTTAAACTGAGGAGCGAGAACAAATCTATGCTGGGAGGTACGTGTAATGGAAAAAACAGGAAGAAGCAACACATACACACCTGATAAATGACAGTTAACATCAACTGAACCATATTCGGGTTTAAAGCTGTGCAAGTAACAGATAGCGGCCATAATATTGATCTGCTCCAGATCAGCTCTCTCTCTATCTAAAGTCCATATGCTCACTTGTACAGATGGTCTACAACATTAACTGAACATGACCAACAGTCATATTAAGACTTTTCATTTAATACTTGTGTGGATTTAATGAAAAAAAGGATATTTACGTATTTCATTTAGTCCTCAAACATGAAGTCATCTATCATGATGAATAATCATAGTAAGACAAAATATCTATAATTCTAATTTCAGCCACAGTTGCTCAGTCCTACATGTAAGTGCAGTTTGTATTTTGTTTTTTAACATTTCTGCTATTTGGTGCCTCAAATAAATGTTTTATTGCTAAAAGCATAAAAATGTCACAAAACAATATCAGCTTTTCAATGTCAAACAGCTGCAAAATATGAGAAGGATGATTTATAATTTTTTGTGAAGAATTTTATCATCTTTGTTGCAGATTTACAGTGCTACTGATTTGTGGGAAAAAAGAAAAAAAATCTGAAACCTTTTTCTAGTTCTTGACTCATAAATTCCTGTATGACTGAAATATCAAATAAAAGTTGAAAGTGTGTTTGTACCTCTGAGGAGCCAGAGGTGAGGACGCAGGCAGCAGCAGCGATGAAATCTCCAATCAGCATTGTGAAGCCCGGCAGGCCGAGGAAGAAGAATCGAGGAGAGCAGGAGCGGATGATGGTGTTCAAAACATCCTGATGATAAGCATGGACACAGATAAACTGTCATCATGTCTGCAGCAATCTCCGTTATTATATCTCTGCAGACTTTATTTAGGAACAGCCTGAATAACAGAACAAAAACTGATTTTTTTTCCTTCTTTTAATTCTCCAGAATGTTTACGATTACAGCCCGGGATTTTTGCATTTGGGGGGAGCCTCGTGTGGGTGGAGTGAAGCAGTATCAGAAATATTTTGTAAATGGGCCACAGTGTGAGAGACGTGGCACCGAGAAAGCTTTTCACTTCAACAGGTAGGCTAAGCATTTTAAGCGTGCTGAGGAGAGTAAAGCACTCAACAGTGCATGTCACTAAAGGACAAAAAAAGGGGAAAAAAACAGAGTGGGAAAGACAGACAGAAGAGAGAGACAGCAGATGGATTGTTCACAGTGGATAAGAGGGAGAACAAAAGACCTCAACTTTCAAGAGTCACATGTATGTACACACACAAGCAAACCTGTAATTAAAGCCAGAGACAAGGTATTGTTTGGTTGAGGTGCAGGCGGCTCAGTGGCAGATGGGTGCTCTTTCAACACAGGCATATGCTGTATTGCAGAGGGTTCTGCACAAACTGCTCAAGTATGTACAGTATAATACTGCACTAGTGAAGGGCGTAAAAGGATGCTTGAGAATTTCCAGACTATATTTAGCTGGTAATCTTACAGCAAAGACGCTCATTTCTTCACTATTGATGGACACAGGAAATACTCTTGGGAAAAAAATATATATAATTAGTTTAAGAATAAAAGAATGCAGCATCTAAATAAGACGGAAAGATTGCTGTCTCTCTTATCTGAGTCATGCATGCGCATATTTGCGTATGAAGGCAAGGTCCAGGCTCCAAACACCTGCCTTCTTGGCCATAAACTTGTGTAAATCGGACAGTTCAAACATCAGCCCGTTTCTAGCTGAACCGAAGGGCACCTTAACAAACAATTTCTCTCTCTCTCTCTCTCAATCACTCACACACACACACACACACACACACACACACACACACACACACACACACACAC